ACTATTGGAATTACTATTTCTTGGAATATATATAGTAGGTTTAAGGTTGGACGTTTCTTTTAATTATAGAATGAGGAAGGAATAATTAAAATCTAGCAAGAAAGTGGTAATAGCTATGGCATGTGTTCTCTAATGACATTCCAATAATTAAGAGTTTGAGTTTTAACATAAAAAATTTTAAATTAAAAAATAAGGTGAGAAAAAGTTTGAAAAAGAAAAGATTATCCTATTATATTTTATACAATGTAAATAATAATAACAACAACAACAACCCATATGTATCAGCTTTCCTTTGCTTTGCTTGTCATTTGTCAAGCACTCTCCTTTATTTTATCTTATTTTCATGCCTTGACGAAGGAATAGTAATTTCATCAAACTAGCTAAATACAGCCTAGAGTTTTTGTTGCAGCTATTGGTTCAAATTGAACCCTGTTTTAAAGTATCATGATATCTGATTTCAGTTTAATATTATCGTGATCTCCGATTTCATGGGTAGACACCTTAGTACCCTATGTAAATGGGGTTAGGTTTAGTCTATACACTCTGAATCGTTGCACAAAGGTAAATAATTTTTGTCATAAAAAGAACTCCGTTAAACAAATTGATGGAGATGACAAATTGAATCTAATTACTCATGAAGCCATCGAAATCATGTCTTAAATCGACTTTGTTGATGAAAATTGCTTCAAGTTGTTGGATATGCACCGGATTTGATTTGTTATTATTATAACTACTACTTCTATTCAGGTACCTATTATCTTTCATTCACATAAGTAAAAATTCCTATGGTTGCAGACAATAAGACTGAAGTTTTATGTCCCTGAAGAATATTATTTTAGTGGGTAAAATTGTTCTAAGTAGCTGGTCCCAGTGGTTGACATATCAGCATGTTATAATCACTGTTCTTTTCTTAGTCAATGTTTTTACAGATATATTTTATAAAAGGAAAAGCAAATGATAGAAAGGTAAAATGTAAGTGTGCTGATTGTTCTTGGAAGTTGTTACCCTACAATGTGTTTTACAATTTTTTCACTTTCCACGCATTGATGTCATTGTTAACGCGTTTTACAATTTTTCACTTTCCACACGTTAACAACGACATCAATGCTTGGAAAGTAGAGTATTTACAACTTTAAGTTGCTGTTTGTCGTTATGAATTATAAGACTAAGTATTTTATGTGGAAAATTTGAAGCATTTACTTTCATCACTAACATGATAAAAGCAGATTGTTAAAAGGGCAAGACCAACGAAACACGTGTCTGGTTGTTGAGGATTATTTTTCTCCCCGGAAAGTTGCCTCCTACCAATTGGAAAGCTTAAAAGCCGAGGAAGCAAGAATGCATGTCAATATGGAAGAAAAGAAATAATTGTTATATGTTTGATGTAATATATTTTTTAATATTTATTTATTTTTTTGGTTTA